GTGTCAAGAGTTCCAAACCGAAATGCTGCCCTTTTCATAGTTTGTTGTTGTTGTGTCACGTGGACAAGAAGTAAAGACAAGCTTAAGGAAATGTTTTTGTCGACCAATTTCATAAATCAGTCGACAAAACTTGGTATTCAAAAAAAGAACAGTTCGTCTGGAAATATTCTTTAAAGTTGAATTTAGCGGATTTCATTAGTCGCCGAATAACAAATTCCATAAAATATAGTCGCGTTTAGATTTACACAACAAGAAGGGCGCTCTTTAATCGAGACATTCAAGCTAACTTATATTGTATTTTTTTGCCATTTTGTTGTGGATATTTAGGCTGAACCCAGACCCACAAATTCTACCGCCACGGTTAACCATGCTCCCGCCACAAAAACACCCGTAGTCGCGCCGCCGGTTGCAGCACCCACCGCACCACCCACCACTGCACCAGCAACCACAGAGAATAATGTTATAACTACCACTAACAATACTACTAACAATACGGCTGCTGCTGAAAGCTCTAAAGAAAAAGAAAAAGTTCCTACCATTTCTAGATCTCAGAGAGCTGGGCTACAGGTAAATTATACTCGTTTTCTTTGAATTGAAGTGAGGTGGGGGGCGGGCTTATCGGACATGATTTGGCTTTTGGGGTCTTTCAAAACTTTTCATTTTACGCGAGACAATCCATGTCTGGTTATTCATTTCTTTTTAAGGGATTTTATGTTACACGTAACTTCTAAAAGAAAAAATCTACATCTATCACCAATAATGATAATAATTTTTCTTGATCCCTCCAAACAACCCATTATCATTAGTTTCCTGTAGGCCGTATTCATCGTTATCTGAAAAAGCGAACGCTCAATAATGCACGTGTTGGTGCTAAAGCCGCAGTATATTCCGCCGCCATTTTAGAATACCTTACAGCCGAAGTGCTCGAATTGGCAGGTAATGCTTCAAAGGATCTAAAAGTGAAACGTATTACACCACGGCATCTACAGTTAGCGATTCGCGGTGACGAAGAATTAGATACACTGATTCGAGCTACAATCGCAGGAGGTGGTGTGTTGCCGGTGAGTATTTTTTTTTTCTTTTGTCGTTGATTCCAACTTTTCATATATTCCTCTGTCGCTTCAAAATATTAATAATTAATTCTGTTATTTCTAGCATATTCATAAGACGCTGCTCAACAAATCAAGTCAAAAATCCAAGAAATCTTGAAACTGCATCATATGCTGGTGATCTTATAAAAATAATAGAGGCAAATACAGACGTCTTCTATTTCATTGTTATTGACTCGTTCATTCACTCATTTCACATTCCCCTTTCAACTTCTTCATAAAGACGTTTGCATATACATATATATATACACACACACACACACCACAAAAAGATTGGGGCTGTTTAATTGCGATATTTGCCGGAATCCTGTTATTCTGCTTTTGAGTATTACTTCTTTTTTTGCTCTCCTTGTTGTTTATCAAGTCTCTGTGTCTTTAGTTTCTACATCCTTTAAGTTGTTAAAGAGTGAATAATAATTTTTTAATCTTTTGTCTTTGTTCGTTCAATATTGAAAGAATTTCACAAAAAAATACTAAATAAACTTTGACATAGTATTTCCGAATTGATAGATCTTGATTATAAGCAACAACAAAGTTTCTCTTATCGTCATCGTCCTTATTCTCGATTCTCAACAGCTGTTGCGTCATTATTATCTTTCACTGGACTCCTTCAATAACTACTTATACAAATTTCATGATATCCGGTGACATAATACT